GACAAATATATAAACCAGTCCAGTGTAGGAATTTGATTCAAACACAAAGTTTTTTAATTTGGAATAGACAGTGTGGGTCCATATCTTTTGACAGGTTTAATCTAGAACTAGAAATCAGACCTGATGTGGCTTACAAAGAAGCTTACTTTATCTTCCCTCTGTTTTGGACCCACAACGTATGGCTTTATTTGAGGTAACAAAGACCATACACTCAAAAAGTAATCAAAAACAATATCTTCTTCTTTACTGTGAAGAAGAAGATTTTGACATTCAGTCTTTCTCAAAGTGGCATCTAGTACTTGTTGTCAATGAGTTTCTTGTCGCATAGCAAGATTGTGTATACTTTTCTTGTTTTGTAACGAATCATGATGTTTCACTTTCATTTTCCTTACACTACCAAGTTTTAGTTTGAACTCATGGGAACGTCTAGAGAGAGCGAAAACAAGAGTTGAAGAATGATAAAAGTACCGACGTCATTTAAAGTAACCAACCAATGAAAGAAAGAAAGAAACGTTAAGTGTGAGTTGTTGCGATAATACAGACTGTCTCGTCAGTCACAAATAAAAGCCCTTAAGATATGATTCCCGATACATAAAAAAAATTCAGCTTTCTCCATGAGAATTAGAAAGCCAAAGATGCTTCTCCCTTCTCATTTTGTTTTTCAGCTGGAAAACTCACATTTTACCTGCAAAAACAAGAGTTCAGATTTACAGATAAGACAACGAACCAGATTGTTCACTAGAAAGTTAAGGAAAGATCGTAATGAGAGAATTTATACCGAGATGGGCTCCTGCTTCGGATAGGGCTCGTAGCTGGGATTGGCTTGCTAGGGCTCTTGCTTGCTTCCATCTGAAGCTACGATACAGAGAAGTTATTAAGAGATCAAACAATGTAAAACAGAACATCAATTTCTATAATACTTAAAGTGGGTCAAGGTCAAATCTTGTTTACTCACAGGAGGTAGAGGAGATCTTGATCTTGAACGAGATCTGCAAAAGTTTAAGAAAACAACACCCAAATTTAAAACTCCATACGCGTACAGTTTAGCACCATTCACCAAGATCCTTGATGCCTTTGCCATCAGGGATCAAGAAGTTGCAACAAAAAGGAAGTAGCTTAAACCAAACCTACAATGCAACTTAATTAAAATAGAGGACAAAGATTTTCTAAACCATGCGGTCAAAACAACTTCTGTAGCAAAATGTGTCATGGACGTCCCACGAGAAACCCAAGATTCCATATTGTCATCATCCATCGGGCCAATTTAGTTTTTCCTGAAATCCCGATATAATATTGCGATCGAATGTCTCCACTGTTATCCATCTATCAGTAATGGAAAATAGTGAATACTCTTGTAAGAAAGCCAGGAAAAGCAAAGTCTGGATTCCAAACTTTTCCCATACCTCTGTGTTGAAACACTTGAGAACAACATTCCATCCAGATATTAATTCCCATTTTCTAGTCCATTTGTAAATCCGTATCTATGAAACAAAACCATTTTCTTCTCAGGAAAACAAAGAGCAGACTAAATATGCAATTACAACAAAATGCAAGGCTAATCTAATTTCGCACACCCATCCAACATTACATGAGATGAGGAGACAATGATGACTGTCCGATGGCAGGCACCAAAAACGAACCATTACCATCTAAGTAACAAGAACTTTGGAGTCATAATCAAATCATCATAAAGTTCACAGAAAGATACACTGACAAAGAAATGTTATCTGATGCATCTTTTGAAGGTAAAAAATAATTACCTTTTCGGAGAATGTGACCTTGACTTCGAGCGGGGGACAGGAGATCTTGATGTAGGTTTTCCAGGCGACCTACGTGAAGATGTTGCCTTTGGACTCCTGCTTCTACTCCT